TACCTCAATACCAAAGAAATCCATCAGCATTTCAAATCCAAAACAGACCCATCCCACAACCAATTCCAATACAACATACAACAACATATACCTGACCCCACCCCTATACTTTGCTTCTTCTTCTTCACGCCGAAAAACCCGGCAAAATCAGAAAAAAATTGTGATTCTGGCCCGTCAACATCTGCGCCTGCAACAGCCATCACGTCGCCGTCCCTTTTTTAGAAATTTCTCAACCCTTCACTGTTGCCTCGAAAAAGGGATTCAAATTCAAAAATCTGCTCGTTTCCCACCTAAATCGACCCCAAAATCGTCTCAACTTTCCCTATAAATAACCCTCTACCCTCAGTGATTAAAGGGGTTTTTTTTTTCGGAGATTGGATTTTATAGTGTAATAGTATTCTGTAATTAGAGTTTCTGGGGTTGCTATTTTGGAACTCGGAATTCCTCGTGTGGTGGTCGAATAGCTCATTCATGCTCGCCTTATCTCAGTTCGCTGCTCCAAAGAAGGTGACTTCCCCTCATCTCCTATTTCATATTGGTCAATTTTACACTCAATGAATTATCTGTGTATTTGTTCTGTTTGAGTTCGGGTTAATCTGGCCATATGTAAAATAGGACAGAAGTGGCTATGAACAGGTTTTCATTTTGAACTTCCAATCACTGATGCGTTTTCTTTTATATATTATTGATGACTTTGTTATATTAATGCTATATATAATTATCCATTGTCTTTGTGTCTTATGTATGCTATTCCATATTCATGAAACGTTCCATTCATCTTATATGTCTAGATCTATTTGGAAAGGGTCCTAACTTACATATTTTCAAATATTTTTTCTGTTTAAATCTTTGAAAATTATAAGTTTTCTTGATTTCTTTAAAAAATTAAGTGGTGACTCTTTTCTAAGTATTTTTCTCAAATTGTTTTACTTAGAATATTTCAAAAAAGTGATTTTTCTAAAGGTTAGTAAAATTACGGCACAACACCTCTCGAAGAAAAGTACGGGCGTCATCGTACTGTTCCACAAGACTCAACTAGACTCGTTTTGGTACAATGAGATCAACAAACTTAGGGCTCTGATACCAACTTTGTCACGACCCAGACCATCGTGATTGACACCCACACAAACCCTCCGGTGGGAGAACCATTACTACAACCCAAACAAACAAATTTTATGAAAACTAAGACATTTAAAGATACGAAAGCAGGTTTAAACGACTATAAAAAAATGGAGTCCCCATAAAATCTAAGGTTTTAACAAACAACTAACTAAACTAATGCGGAAGAACAATCTCTAGAACCTGAAAGTCATTGTACCAAAACTCTACTAACGACAAGGAGTACAACCCAAAAACTAAACAACACCTTAAATAAAAGTCGGAATCTGAAAAGAGTGGACTTAAACAAGAAAGATCCATGGCAGCCTGAAAGAACTGGCCCACCCTTGAATCCGGTCACGCTCAATTGTCACCTAGCTGAGGTCTATCAATAACCACTTGAAGATGTCCTGTACTCAACAAAGAACGAGCAAGTGCAGTATTAGTACACAACCACAGTGTACTGGTAGGATCACGCGGCTATCCCATTAAGTGCAAAATGCATAAGTCATTACAACAATATAATAACATGCATACACCGAATATACACAATATCGATATCATTTACAAACAACGAATAATTTCACATTTATCAAGATATACAGTTATGTCAAATCAATGGTACTCTCATGGAACCCACACCCAAACTGTTAGCATACCGGAACGTGATACCCGATCCAATGTTTATCCCGGAACGTGGCAACCGATCCCATGTTTATGGCAGAACTTGGAAACCGATCTAATGTTTATGTTGGAACGTGACAACCGATCCAAGTTAGTGTGTTAGAACGCAACACCTGATCCATTCAATAAGCCACAATCACAATCACAAGTATATTCTCAAAATCATACAATCAAGTCATGATTCATGGCATTCATCATTCATCTATCCTCATCCACAAGTAGTGTGATCAATAGTGCAACATTCACATACATACACGTATTTTAATGAAGCAAGAACAAACATATATCACACAATCATGAAATCACAACCATCACCTACCTCGAATCAAAGCTTGAATCCCCTAATGCACTTGAATCTTCCCTTTCCGGATTCTTCCCACTTGTTCGTGGTCTAAAAGTATACAATTAACGCAAGGATCAACCATCAAAGGTCTAATTATCCGGATTATAACAAACCCAATAATCCTAGACCAAATCCAAGATCCTAATACCCAATTTAGGGGGTTTTCCACCATTAGTTTCAGATCAACCCCCCCCCCCCACACACACACACAATAATTACCTACGAATTTACATTCTATGGATCAAAAAATGGATTTAGGGGAGTGAAAACCTTACCTTTAGCCTCAAGAATGGTGGAAAACTGTCAAAAAAACCCTAGGGTCGTTCCTTAGCTCTCAAAAGTCAAAAAGTGCAGAATAAAATGGTTTTGGGTTTTATTTCCTACTTAAAGTCGCGTCTATCCTGATACAACGTGACCCATCCTGCTACAGCGTGACCCATCCCGTTACAACGGCATGCACAGAGACAAAACGCTAGAATTTGAATTCCAAGCCCCTATTTCACAACACACCTTCAACCCTTGACATTCAAAAAGCACTCGTTCACGCTAAGATCATTTTCGGAAGTTCTACTCGTCCAAATTCAATTCTGTAAAGTCATACGGGTTCCTTAACGTCTTATCTATCTATTCATTTAATCAAAATCATAATTAAATCACCCTGTTGTTATCATATTTCCCTAGACTTTACGAACTTCAATTTCGTCCAAATCTGGACTAGGTTAGAAAATCCAAAGTTACTACTCAAAAATTTTCTAGCCCCAATTCTTTCTCCATTGACTTTTCTATAACGACGGGAATAGGTCGTTACAGAGAGTGGTGCTACACGTCCTAGAGGGTTAAATATTTTTCACTATTTAGTAGCAGAGGTGTAAAATAGGTCACTATATTACTTTAAGTGTGTAACTCACTTTCCGAGACAAGTTCGGGGGTGAATTTATTAAGTTAAAATGTAAGCTCATAGTACTCCTTCAGTTTCTATTTAGCTGTCACAATTTTAGGTTTGACGTCCTGTAAGAAATTAGGTAAGTTTAGCATTGTACTATTATTTAGTTTTTCTTGAAGTCAAATTTTCAATAATTGAACATGAATTAATTTATCTTGATTAATCAATTTGACCGATGAACATGAATAAATTGCTTAGTTATCCTATATTGATCAAATTCATATATAATTTCAAGGATAATAACTCTCAAGGGTAAAATAGGAAGAATAATACTCCCTACTTTTCAAAATAATTGAATTGTTGGGGGTGTTTCACACTCTTTAAGAAAAGAAGATTAGGGCATAAATTAGACATTACTTTCTATTTTTATCCTTATTATTATTGTCAAATTAATCTTTAGAATAACTAAACATTAATCATACTCCCTCCATTTCAAATTAATTGAATTGTTGAGACATTTTTCATTTTTCAAATTAACTTAATTGTTCAATTTTCAAGACTACTTTTAAAATGTTCTTCCAATTTTACCCTTCGTTAGTTAGTAATGAAATTAGTTATTAATTAATGTTTTGTTATTTTAATCATAAATTTTACAATAATCAATTAGGGTAAAAATGGAAAGTTATGCCAAATTTATGTCTTAATCTTCTTTGTTTAAAGGATGTGAAACACCTCAACAATTCAATCAATTTGAAATGGAGGGAGTAATAACTAATTTCAATACTAAATAATTCAAAAATGTCTTGAACTCATCACATAGAAAATAATTCAAAGCCATTAAAGTTTCTTGAACTCATCACATAGAAAATCCAAATGAAGGGTAAACATGGAAGAATATTCTAAAAGTAGTCTTGAAGATTGAACAATTAAGTTAATTTGAAATATGAAAAATGACTCAATAATTCAATTATTTTGAAATGACGGGAGTATCATTTGATTTAGTTTACATACTTATGAGGTGTCCAATTAAGTAATTCTAATTGGAGTAATGTAGAACTTAATGCTTATTTTTGTGTTTCATATACTCTATTTGTCCTACAATACTTGTCCACAATTGACTTTGCATACTTCTTAAGAAACTATAAATAGAAAGGTAATCTTACTAATCACCCTTTAAATGTAATAAATACAATGTCTGAAAAATATAATAGAGAAATGACTATAATAAATGATAAGGGTAAATTAGGAACTAAGTGTAAATTAGTTCATTAATTTTGTAAAGTGGACAAATATTACTAAACATCCCAAAATCGTATAGTGGACAATTATTGCTGAGTAGTAATCAGTGTAATACAACTAAATTAAAAGTCAAACTCATTAGTTATCCTTAATGTAAAAACAAAAAAAAAGATGAAAGTTGGAATTGATATTTATACCACAAGATCAGCTATAAAACAAAGAAGATATTTATACCTGAAGAAAAGGTCACTTTTATAAAATGTTTGACCAACTTTCTTATATCAGTTTATTTTGAATTATTTAAAATATAAGAAACTCTTTTAGAAAAGTTAGTTGGGAGAATGGATTGTTGTTTGATCAATTAATTTAAAATAGACTTTTGAGTGATTTAGTGTTTCTAACAATTTCTTAAAAAGTATTTCTAAGTGTAATTTTTTTCAAAAGTATTTTTAGTAAAATTATATTTTTTTAGTTTCTGAAAATCAATTTCTGTTAATCTCAAAAGCAGTGGTTTTCTAGCTGGCAAAACTGACAGAACAAAAATCTATGCAAAACAAGTTTCTACTTGCTACCAGAAACACGTGATATAATGAGCATTAATTTCGTGATGAACATGAAATTACAATATTGTCCTTGTGATGAAGAAAATTAGTTGACGAAAATGAGCTTAAATACTCCTTATGGAATAAGAAAAAACACAAACTCACAACACTAACCACAATAAATCAGTTGCTTAATCCAAAGATCTTCAAAATGCCTAATGATATCACCTTTAACATTCTTCTAAAACTTAATGTCAAATCGCTTTTACGATTCAAATGCGTTTGCAAATCATGGTGCTCTTTAATTGAAGATCCCCAATTCATCAAGCAGCACTACGATATGTCTAAAAAGGATGTGAATCGTCATAAATTCTTCTTGACTGGTGGTGAATGGGAAAACAAGGACGACTATTTCTTCTCTATAGACACTCCACTTCAACATGATTCTGCTGCCTCTCTTATCGAGTCTCTGATTCCAGGAATCAATCATTTGAGTAGCGTAAGTTTTGTTAGTTCTTCTAATAATGGTATAATTCTTATGGTTTTCCCTTATGATTTTATCATTTTGTGGAACCCGGCCATCAGGGAATTAAGAAAAATTCCAAGCTCAATCCCTAAAATTAAAAAGTCAGGTAGAAAGCGGTTTCCTGCTATTTATGGTTTGGGCTATGTTTCGTCTATTGATGATTATAAAATAGTTAGAGTAGGGGGAAAAGATAACTCAAATGGTCATTTTGAGATCGATCTCTTTTCGACGAGAGATAACTCGTGGAAATTGATTGGCAAGTTTCCTCCGTATAACTTTTTCCGTGAAGGAGATATTGTTAGCATAGATGGTATCGTTTATATGATAGTGATGACAAATTTATCTGAAAGTGTGAATGAATCTACTATATTAAGTTTTTGCTTGGAGAAGGAACAATTTGAAGAAGTATTATTTCCAGATCGGATTCTAAGGTTCCAAAATCCAATTTTGCATGTTTTAGAAGAAAATCTTTGTTTGACTAGAATGCATGATTTAGCAAGTCGTGATTTTGAAGTTTGGCATATGAAAAAAGATGGATCAATGAGCACCACATGGAGTAAGATCTTGACGATTCCATCGATGTATTTATGGACGTTGCTTGAGGCGCGTGAAATTAATGAAAATTAATGAATACGTAATTTTTCTAAGATATAAAGGTGATTTCGAGGTCTACAATACAAATGGAGAGAGAAGCAAAATAGTTGAAGTTCCTGAGATTGATTCATTGTTTTACTACATCAATTGGATTGTACCGTATGTAGAAAGTTTGTTTTCTCCTAAACAAAGACAGATTCGACATTTTAAGAAGATGGATGCGTCAATACCATAAAAGAAGAGGAATGTAATCTTGAAAGAATAATTCAAACTTAGTTAAAACGCAAGGAGGGACATAAGATATACTCATAATCCTGTTGAATTTGGCTAGTTAACTTTTGTCTATTAATCATTTCATGTACTTTTGCATTTTATATTCGCATGATCAGATGATCTTGTATTGTTTTAACCTTCTTTTTCTTTGTTGTTTATCTAAATTAAATTTGACAAGTCTTAATGCAGATATTTCAAGATATACTTTTCAATTTTCGCATGTTAGATCAGTCAATTTTTTTTTAAAAATATTTTCTTTTTAGGAATACAAGTTTCATAAAAATGGAAAAAATAATTATCTCAAATAGAAGTAGAGAAATAAATTTTAGAAATAACATTCTATATATGATTATGTCAAATTCACCATCCAACACCTCATGCTCATAGTCACCCTAGCTATTCCCACTACCCCACATGGCCACACCCTTCTCCGCCCATGCCCACGCCCACCTCCCATAATGAGTATTTGTCTTGATCATATATAAATACTTTTCAAATAACTAATATTTCTGTCTTACATACTAAATACAAAAAATATGCAAGAAATCTACTTATTTTTTTTGAAAAACTTTTTTGCATGAAAAATGAATTTTCTTGTATACCGAACACACCCTAGATCCTTCATGGGAAAACTTGATAAGTGTTTTTCTAAATGAGTTAAATACTCTGCACCTATTCATAGTGTTTCCAGACTAAAAATACAAAGAAACATCATCTTGCCTAATTTGAAACTTTGACAGATTATCTAGTAATGCTTCAACATACTTGTTTACATACTAAATTAAGAAGCTTACAAATATTAGAGAACCAAAAGAATGAAACATATCATAAGTACTAGAAAAGAGAGGACACATAATATTTTTATTGAGTTATCAGTTAAACCATTAAGGAAATTTAAAATTGTTAATCGAAATGACAAGTTAATGGCCTAAAACACAAAATCATTTTCAAACTGATAACTAATATGGATATCTTAAAGAACTTCTAGAGATACTTAAAGACAATCTCAAATTCTTCTTCTTTGACTTTGACTTCTTTGCCTTCAACTTTTTTTCCTCTTCTTCGCACAGATATATAAATCAATTGTATCTCTCTCCTTTCACTTTCAAATATCGCTCGCTTCTCTCCTCCTTATAACACTACGAATCATAATTAAGCACACTATATCTAAATAGCCTGATTATGTTTCTAATCTTAGATGTTTTTTTAAATTTCCCCTTTGTAATATAGTGTATGTCCAATTTATTAAAACTTGGGCTTGTAGGGTGGATCAAATTTAGGTTGAATTTGTGACCCTTTTTGTAACGACCCGAACCGTCGTTAATTAGGAAGTGAAACACATCAGGAAATGCTGGGGACACTGTCCCGCCAGAGCGGGCCAGATGCCGCTAGGGCGGCAGCGCTCTAGAGGGATAAGTAGCCGCCAGAGCGGAATAGGCGAGACAAAATGGATATAACGCAAAGTTTGATTTTCTCTTTTTTCCCAAAACACCTAAAAGATGCTGGAATCACTCTAGAAACCATCCAAAAGCTGCTCTAGTCTTGGGAAAGAAGGAGAAAAAGATTTTTAGCGTAAAGAGATTGATAACTTGCAAATTCTTGGCCAAATTCACCGTCTTGTCATCCGAAAACCAAAATCGGAGCTATAATTTCGTGTAGCTACTTGGCGCCCAAGTAGGCTAGGTTTTATTAATCGAGTAGTTATAAATTTGTTATTCACTGCGTAGTATGTTGGAACTTGATGGTAGAATTCATGCGTAAGCTTTCGCACCAACAAAATAAAGAGTAGATTATGCATATATTCCTAAGCATTATATCAGACGTACACCGTAGGAGAAAGCCCTATCTCATGAACTAGGGTTGGGGATGGTTGTGATTTCCTATTTGGTGTGATGTATGTTGACTGGTGACTGTATGATATGCATGCGTATAAGCAAAGTGTAACAGTAGTAACGAACCTAATGGATTGATTATGAATAATGCATGACAGAAACTTGAGTACTTGACTATATGATGTGAGTATTGTACGTCATGAATGTGATTGTACTGGTGTTGTGATGCATTGGATCGGGTGTCACGTACCGACACACTAACTTGCATTGGATCGGGTGTTACGTTCCGGCACACTAACTTAGATCGGGTGCCATGTTTTGGTGCATACATGGGATCGAGTGTCACGTCCGGCACACTAAATTAGATCGAGTACCATGTACCGGTACACTAGCAGTTTGGGTGTGAGTTCCATTAGATAACCATTGACTTGTCATCTATGTGTATTGTTGAGAATGTGGAATTGTACATTGAATCCTGACATGATAACTGGGTTGCGCATTATGTATAGGCATATGTGTGGGTTGCGATGTTGTAAGTTATTTGGAGATATTTTTTTGGGTAATGAATCGTGAATGGTAGAGTCCCAAATCGGGTTGTGGCATGGTAAGGGGGGAACTAAGGGTTTCGGTGCTATCCTTGTTAATTAGAATGTGGTCATGGGTATTATTGTTGAGGTTTGGGGGTGGTGTTTAGTGATAGTGTTTTATAGTTGGGTCTTTCCCCATTAGGGGGTAGTAATATAAACGGATAGTAGGCCTCGATAGGCGTAGTATGAGGTTATAAGTGAAGTGGAGACGGGAATGAAGTAAGGGCGTGTCATGAGTATTGACTGGGTTGGTAGTAGTATATTTAGATTTTCCTCAACGGATAGAATGATTAGGTATGATTACGAACGAAGCGAGTGAGGGGTCAGAGTCCAGTGTACTAGTGGGATTTAAGTATCTGGACATGGTAAGGATAGGGAACTATAAAGATGGAGGAATGAAGAGTGTTATTGCATGTTTCGCCAGTTGATTTCTCATATTATGCGGTATGTATTCGAGTTGATCGATGATGCCTACCAGTACATGTGGTTGTACTAATACCACTCTTGCTATGCATTTTGGCATAGTCTGGTTGCAGGATCAGTGGTGTTTCATAGGTGAAGGCGATGGCAATCTCCAGCAGCTTCTATTTTTCCTTCCGCATGGTGGGAGCTCTATCTTTTCATTATTATGTTTACTTTGTACTCTTAGTATCTCTTGTACCTGTTTAGACTAGATCATTGGGGGTGTTAATTACTTTACAAGTCTTACCTTAAGTTGTTGTTTTAAACTCTTATTTTATAAAAATCTTAGGAATGTTAATCGTTCTTCCTTTTTCTTGGTCTTCCACATGTCTTAAAAATGGTTGGAAATTGAGGATTCTCCTACTTAGGTGTTAGAGTAGGTGCCTGCATGACTCGTGTAACAGCTCACAATTTGAAGTAACTAGGAAGAAGCTAATAATTGGAAATAGTCATTTTTGGAAAGAATGGAAATCTGGAAATTTGTTTAAGTAAAGAAAAGTTGAGATTTGGTCAACTTCAAATGGCCATAACTCATAGATCAGGATGTGTTAGGTGTACTTCTAGATATGGTTGGAAATCTCTTGGAATGATCTTTCCAACGCCGCCAAATTTGCGTGATTCCGAGTTCATATGAGTAAGTTAGGCCCTTCGGAAGTTGAGTTGTTCGAATAAGGAAAGTCCAATTCGGATTTTGGAAGGGTAGTTTGGTCTTTTTCTTACTCAACTTAATTAATTCGTTTTTAGAAGTTTAATTGGCATAAAGTCTGATTTTAGTCAGTTTTAGAAAAGTGATTTCACTCTAGGGCTTGGAGAGAGGAGAAAAGAGGAGAAAGGAGAAGAACGTTCAAGATTCGTCGAGATTAGCTTGTGGATTTCGTCGGGGGTGATCCCTACAAGGTAGTGAGATCACATAGCGTTAGGTCCATTTACCCATGCGCCAATCATGTTTAATTCAGTGATTTTCGTCCTAAAAAGAGTTAGAATTTGATGTTCTTGAGTTGTGTTCTTGAATTGTTTTCATTCTTGAACTTACATGTGATTGATGGATTTTCTTGAGACGTTTTAGCGATGTTAAGAGCTATTTTGAGTTAGATTCTAGTGTACATGTGATGGGTATCTGAATCTAAGAAAGTATTGAGAAAAGGAATCGATTTAAAACGATTTAGGATCAGAAAACAAGTTGAAAAACTCGTCAGACGAACCTGGGGAGGGCCAGGTGTGTCGCACCCCAATAGCGCCAAGAGGCTGGGGCGGCGCGCCAGCAGTGCGCCAGATTTTAGCCCCAGTAAGTTGGGGCAGGCACGGCGCGACCGAGATGCGCCCAAATAATCGTTTTTCACCAGTTTTCGTCGTATAGCCTATTGAAGTCCTTCTAAAGTGTACTAACACTTCCTATTGATTCTAACTACTCTTAATGACTTCTAAACATCTAGAAATCATCCAGAAACATGAATCATAACCTTGAATCCATAAATTCAAATTCAAGGAAAGTTAAGAGCCAAGTCTAGGAAGTTCTTAGAGTCTTTTCAAGAAGTCTTTTGCAAATGCTTTTTAAGACTTAAAGTTCAAGTTAAGTAAAGAGTAAAGAGTAAAGTTTGAAGTTCATTTCTTCAAAAGTATATGGGGACTATGTATTCCCAAAGGGTTTAAAATGTTTTTTCACATTTAAACAAGAAAGGAAACCTCGATTTCCAAAGAGCCTTCATGCTGGTTTTCAGAAAAGAGTAATCGCTTTCTAAATGAAGCAAGAGGGGAAACTTTGATTTCCAAGATAACCTTTGAGCTAAGTTTTTGAGAACTAATCTCAAATCACAGAAGAAGTATGTTTTTAAAAATAAGAGCTAACATTATATTTTTGGGTGTAGTATTGAGCACCGAT